ATCCATTCAGTGGCGAGAAAACAGTCGAAAATCGTAGATTTCCTGCGCCAACATAACATCGATGTCGCGTTTCTAACCGAGACGTATCTCTAGCCGGAGGTCAACTTTAGCCTGCCAAATCACACAATTGCTAGACTGGACCGAGTTCGAGCACAGCCATTGCCATCAGGAGAGGACTGGAGTACAGGATGCTGCCTGATTTTCGTCTATCGTTCGTGGAAGCCATTGGAGTCGAGCTGACATCGCCGGATGGTCTCATCACACCCATTGCCATCTACTGCCCTGCCCAATTTTAGGAGTCGGATGGAACAATCGATCGTCTCAAGAATGACATCCAGAAGTTGACTCGTCGGAAGGGTAAGTTTATCCTCGCCGGTGATCTCAACGCACGTCACTCGCCGTGGGGCAATGCAAGAAGTAACAAGACCGGACCGGAAAATCACACTTGATGAGCTGGTGAACACTATCAAGTCGACGAAGAACATGAACTCTTCTGGTGAACGTCTTCAATCGCTGTCTGGAGCTTGGACACTTCCCAGCTACCTGGAAACGGTCTAAGGTGGTACCGATACCAAAGCCGGGAAAGGATCCTACCAACCCGTCAAGCTACCGTCCGATCAGTTTGCTTTCCTCGCTTAGCAAGTTGTTCGAAAAACTTATTTACGCCAGACTCCTCGAGCACACCGAGGCGAACGACATCCTACTGGACAAGCAATTTGTATTCCGACGAGGTCACTCGACGGTGGACCAACTCAAGCGGGTCTCAAACCTCATCAATTAGGCGAAGTCGGTCTTGAAGACAACGGTCATGGCGATACTAGACATCGAAAAGGCATTCGATAACTTGTGGCACGACGGTTTGGTGCACAAGCTTCTGCAATTTCGTTTCCCCAGCTACCTGGTGAAGATCATCTCGGACTACATCGACGGCAGGACGTCTCAAGTATGAGTAGGCAGTGCTCTCTCGGAACCGTATGATGTACCCGCTGGTGTCCCTCAAGGAAGCATCCTGGGACCCATATTGTACAATCTGTACACATCTGACATACCGACACTGCCGCAAGGTGGAACACTGTCGCTGTTTACTGACGATTCGGCAATCAGCTACAAGGGACGAGTAATGCGCACTCTCGTATCGAAGCTCCAAAACGGATTGGATGCCTACACCATATATCTCACCGACTGGAAGATATGTGTGAACGCGGCCAAAACGCAAACCATTGTGTTTCCGCATAGCAACACCGACCGGCTCAAACCGTCATCAAAGATAAAGGTTCTGAACGCTGAACGCTGTCTCTGGTATGGAAGGGTTGTGCTAAAACACATCGGAAGAAGCTCCAAGTCCTGCAGAACAAGTTCCTGAAGATGATTCTAAATCTGCCTCCGCGCACACGGATAGCCGACGTTCATCGGCTGGCAAATCTCGATCAAATCGACCAGAGAATGAATGCGCTCGCCAGTTGGCACCAAACTAGGACTCTAAATTCAGAGTACGTAAAAACTGGAAAACTTTACCCATAATTTTGTAAATAGTAGGTTTAGTTAGGATTTAATGTAGTAAGATAGTAAATTTAAAATTCAAAATAGAACAAATGTTCACAATGTAAAATGATAAATACCAAATATAAAAGCAAAATTTAGCCAATAGCTTTCAGTAATTTTAGGAAAGAATGAATAACTAATGTTGATCACTTACAATGTAAAACTATGGTAAAACAAAACAACTAAATAAAAAAAAATTAATGTAAAAAATAAAAAAAAATTTTTCAGTGCTAGGTTCTGAAATTCGACAGTGAGCGTTCAAAAGGGTCTACTTGTAATGTTCGATTTTCTTCATTGAATTTCTGTTTACATTGCTACAGCTAAGCGAAACAATTCAAGCTGAACATTGCATTAGGTCCTAAGTAACACTGACAAGATTCTCTTGGTCGACTTTCTCCTTGAATCCACCGGCCCAGGTATTTCAGCACACATATCGATAAAAGAAGTTTTTATCTAGCATCTAATACGGCAACCACAACAAGAAACGAATCTGTGCTCTAGTTATTAAGGCTGTATTCCATTTGATGAATTATTACTTAAATTTGACAGATGGAAAATTTTCAAATACAGCTGCTATTCCAGCAGACTTATTTCTGACAGACAAGGGATCAATTTGACAGACGCTTTCTCGAAAATCGGCCGATCTACAACAGAGGGATTTTCGAACATCTTAATTTATCTCAATCGGTAGATAAAATATGTACCGAGAACTTATTGTAGGGATTCATGGCTTATTGATATCAACTATGAAATGTTGCATAACATTGATGCAAAATTGTGCACTCCGTTTTTGTGCTTGTTTCCGAGAGCTAGCTTTAATGAAATTCTGTGTGAACTTCACAGATCATACGGAAGAACTTTAGGCTTAAAGCACCGACGGGAACATCTAGAAAGCTTCAAAGGTACTTTTGTGGCAATACTTTTGGGAAGTTCCGAGAAAACTTAAGGGTAAATTTACGTCTGTTTACTCGGCAGCAATCATTGTGTGGTCCTCCTCATTGTTCTTCGTCAGCAGTTCTTTCGGTCGATGCGTCGTCGACTTTGGAAAGCAACCGTTTCGTGATGAGTGTGTGAGTGATGACCACGTTTTGCGTCCATTGCTGCAATGGAAGTGCCCTACCATACAAAGAAACCACTGGAAGCGGCTCCCGTTCTGTTGGAAGATGCTTATTGAATAGCGGAAGATAAAGTATTTATTGTGTTTTACCTTTTGACTAAAATTGTATAGTAAACAAGAATCCTCGACTCTGAAAAGTTAATTCGATTGAGCCTTATCAAATAAATTAATAATAAACTAAAGTTCCGGGTTAGCTTTAGACAATTTCAGAGAAGGTCAACAAAAGGTTCTGAAAAAATCCAAAGGAACATAAGAAAAGTTCTGAGAGAACTTGAGAAAAACTTGAAGAAAACTTACGAGGTATTTTCCTACACGGCCAATGAGAACGAATCAATTTTGAGTTTAGTTTACTCATAAATCGCATAAAGTGCGGGAATTCAGCGATGAGTAAATTTGCCTTACGTAAAGATTGGATTCACTCAGTCTATTGGTACTGCTGCTATCTAGTTCATTTATTTTTAAGGCTCAATCACGTTAGCTTTACGGAGCCGATAATTCCTTGTTCTTTGTTTGTAACAAAATTCACTTAATTCTATGTCTAGCAGGAGTTGAGCCGAATACTCGTGGCTTACTCGAAGTTAGAGGGGTACATTGTCGAAGGATAGGAAAATGGGAGGAGCTTGGGGGTAGGGTTTCGTTGTCTCATCAGAGCGATGTGGTACTGCTGCTAGACTAAGTAAAATTTTCGTCAATTTTCCTTATTTTCCAGCAGATTTTTGAGACAGGAAAACATGAGGAAATATGTAAGATGCAGGACCATGTAAACTTTTCAAGACTTAAAAAGATTTGGAAATATTTCCCGGATTCCAGCGCTATTAAGTCTTTTCTTTCTTTTGTTTTTTTTTTTTAATTAATGTTCACTTTAACACTCTTGGGTCATGACCTAGTCCGGGATGAGATTTGATCTCTTTGGCGTGAGAGGTATGGATACTAACCACTAGGCCGGGGCCGTCCCCTCACTATGAAGAATTTTCACGATGTCGGACATAGAATGCAACAATGTTTCAAGATTCAAGATTTAAGGCTTCAGACCTCAGATGTAAATATTTTTGGAAAGATCGCAAACTGCGACAAATATATGCGGTGCTAGGACCTGGCATTATTGCGAGATGCAATTCGCCAGACTTATTCGACACATTCAAGACCCCGGACATAAAGACAATTCATGGAATTTGAACATGCTTCCAGGTTCTGGGACTAAGAGGAAGTATTCGAGAACTTGAAAATTAAAGTTTCAAGTACCTGGTACCTACTTCAAAAACTTCAATTCAATGGACTTAAAGAGTCATCTGCATTAGATCCGTTTGACTGTTAGACAACAGATTTAACTGTCACTTTTAGGCAACGCGTCAGATCCGGATCTAATGTGGGCCCTTTAGATAAAATTTTGATTTTCTAAATAAATTTTTACAACATTTATAATTGAAAAAAAAATTATGAGAAGATACTGGACTTAGAAAGTTCTCCTGCTTTGAAATATGTGCTATTGCTATATGTTATAGTAATCTTCTGTTTCTGGGTATTCAATGTTCAGGCTTTTGCAGTGGATGAGCTATGGGGCCTCAGTATTCGTATTCTGGCGTAATGTTCGATTCGCCCCGTGAATGAGCTGACTTTCTGTTAGCGAAAGACATACAAGCTGGATCTCGATTTTGGTATTCGGCACTAATGCCTTTAATCTAAAAGAGTCGCTGTCAACGCTGTCTGATCCAAGTTAATGTTTCTTAATTTTAGTAAGCATTTGGAATATCGAAGGCCCGGCTTGAAGATTTGCATGTAATTGAGACCTAACTTCATTTTCCGAAATAGTGCGATGATTGAAAATTTGTAAGTTGGGTTGCAAACAACCGAAAATAGCGATGGTTGCATAGCCCCAGAATAGTTTATAGGATCTTGAAGTAGTTTGATAACGCAGCGAACATCTGTGCTGTGGACAAAGAAAGTAGGCAGCCTATTCTAAAACTGTAGTTTAACATTCATTAACTGAGTTAGATTAAAAAACCGAAGTAAGACAAAGGTAAGAAAGGAATAGAAATAGTATTAAACAGATGTCAGCATGCTCGAAGTTCGATCATTCACTAACAACAATCGACAGTTTCGAGAAAAGAAAGTGGCACAGATAAATACTAGTTTGATTATATTAGCACAGGATACAACAAACAAACAAACAAAAAAGATAAAACAAAGAAGGCAATTACTGCAAACACTAAATTATCGGCTTAAAGAAAGAAACAAAATCTGTACCTAATAACTGAAAAGGGGCAACAGGGCAAAAAAAAACAGCGGCTCTGACAAGTCTAAATTCTAAAAGCCAAAACTGTGACGCCGAGCCAATACTCACTTGATGCACGAACAGGACACCTTGACCAGGGGATCGGTAATCTCCCACACGGAGTTGGCATTCGCATCCACCAGGGCTGCCTGCGCTGCCATCGATGAGTTGTTTTCATTGTTGCTACTACCCGACGACGACGAAGAGGTCGGCGTGGAGGATGCATTCGAGGAGGGTTCGGTTTTGATGGCCACTACCACACCACTTTCGCCGACCGCCGAATCGGGCGATTGCTGCGGCGGTGGAACCGTCGGGGTGGCATGCATGATACAGTCCTGCCAGACGCGTTCCGGTATGAGGACGGCCGGCGAGTTGTTGATCACCGCCGAGGACATGCTGTTCTGATTGCCGAGATCGTTCGAGGGGGACTCCGGCACCGTTAGCGGTGGGTTCATGAGCGGTTTACTACTGTCACTATCATCCGCGGCTGGGAGCTTTTTGCTGCTGCTGCTGCTGCTGCTAAGATCACTGGTAACACCCAGCGCGCTGGACACTGCTGCCGTGAGGGAATTTGCCGGTAGTGGGGCGGCGGATTTTGCCACCGTCGGTTGCGACGAGCTGGGAGAACCATTGCTGGACGGTGGTGGTGACCAATCGTCGATATCGGTCACTAGCACATACTTGGACGGGTAGCGCATCTTGACACCGCCTGCGGGGAACAGAAAAATTGTTAGCAACTTGACGATCAAACGGAGAGAAATTTGAACTTACCGGTCATAATCTCGACGATGGGCGGCACCGTGTCGGCACTTTCCGATAGGTTAATGTTTTTGTTCGAGATCGGGTAGAAAGCGCTCCAGTCATCGAGCACCTTCTGCGTCTGAGGATCGCTGGCCTTGTAGCTTTGGCCAGTGAGGGTCGCGGCCAAACCGAATGGGGCCAGTATGACGGACCGGGGTTTCACGTCGCTGACAGAGTTGTTGTTGTTGTTGTTGTTATTATTGTTGTTATTGTTGCTGCTGGTGCCCTGCTGGGCTTGGGCTTCCTCGAGGTGTTTGATCATCAACGGTCGCACCGGGGGGTGTTCCCGGATGTCCATCGAGGCACACACCGTACTGTCGCCGTGCACGAAGAATGCAAAGGAAAACGACAGATGCAGAGAGCTGGACGGGAAGAAAAATGACAAGCATTAGTGGAATCTGTTGGGAGGATTGTTTGAGCTGCAGCTAATGACCATATAGTTGCAACTGTCGGTGGGGGAACGAAGACTTCTCTACCGGCTTAACGAAAATGTCCCAGAATTCCACCTTTTTACTCTAGGAAGACGAGCTGGTTTCCCACGGGTGTCGCCTGCACTATTAATCTCAGCTCCAAGCAACACCCAAAATTTGCTAACAGTGGGAATGGCGCTTCCGTATTTGTATAAATAATAATATGCATTCCGACGATGACGATGGTCATTAGCGGAAAACTCTCTCCTCGCGCCGAAATTAGCGCACACACGCACACTTACCTCTTGCCAAATACTCGCTCGCTGTTGGAACTGGGTTGCACGAACCACCTGCCCAAGCGGACGACATCCCGCGAGAGTAGACATCTGTTGTGTTGTTGTTTTACCGCGTGATGATGGTGATGAATGAACGTAGAATGGGGCACAGCCGGCATCGTTTACCATCGTCGTCGTCGTCGTCGTCGTCGTCGTCGTCATCGTGTGTCGGAAGATGAAATTGAGAAAGGGAAGAAAAGACGAAATGTTATTCATTTGAACTCATGTGCGGAAGATGCATCATTGCGGTAATGAGATTGGAAGTGTGCGATTCAGTAACTAGTAGGTATCGTTAGATGGGGTTGATATCCTAACCAAGTAATTCTATTGACATGAGGTTGATATATACGCTCACGGCAGACTAAAATCACTAAAGCAAATGTGTAGTCCGACTCATATAGGTTCTAATCTAATCTTATCTAATCTTATCACTTCTTGAAAGCATCCTTGGACCTCCATAATTTGTCAACTCTATTAGATATATGTCTCAACATCGAAGATTCGTCACACAAACCGAAACGGCCAGAGGTACTGTGCGGCATTTAAGGGGCAAGATGATTCTGAAAAATATCGCAAATATCAGCCTTCTCAAAACATAAATACAACAATGAAACTGAAACTTCACATTTCCTGCAGTGCAGAAGGAGTTCCAATTTCATGAGCGATGTTGCAACAGTGTCCGAGATTTGTGCTCTAGAAAGCTTGAAGTGATAGGACATGACTGTCATTGTTCGACGCTTCAAGGAATCACCTTATACCCCGTACAGACTATGGCGTATATCATGTAATATAGACTATCTTGAAATGAGCACTCATACATAGGATTTCCAGTGAAAACTAGATGTATGAGTTCTCATTGCAAGACAGCCTATATTACATGATATAAGCCATAGTCTGTACGGGGTATTAAGCTCAATGAGTTTTTTTTTCTAAAATTCACTGACGAAATCTTCCTTGAGATTTTTTGCGGGTCACCTGAAATTACTAAGCCTACTTTGGAAACTCCAAAAGCTTTTCTGAAGTATGCTGAACATCTGTGTTGAATTTCGCTGATGAATGCACATGGCGTCCTTGAGGTTATCAAGGACTGGAGTTCCGTGAACTTTTTTTAAGCTTCCTACTAAACGAAATTAGGTTTTCAAAGAATCTGGGTTCCTCTAAAATTCCCTTAAGATTCACTAAGATTTATGGAGATCATCCTAAGTATTATATTGTACATTATTTATACAAATATTGAAGTTCTCTCAGGTTTCTTACGCCTCTTTGAAGTTCTTGATTTTTTCAAGTCCTCCGAAACTTGCTGGAGGATCCCATAGCTCCCTGAAATTTTCAAAAATTAACTGAGATATCTTGAATTTTTTTAAAAGCTCTGAAGCACCCTGAATGTTCCCTGATTTTTCGTTAACTCACCAGAACTTTTATGAAGTTTCCCAAACACTCCTGAGGTTCTGACATTTCTTTTAGGTTTCCAGAGATTCTCTGAGAATCACATATTTTTTTCTAAAGATCTATTCTCATTTGCTTCTGGAATTTTCAGAATATCTTCTGGTCTAATTCCAAGTTCACCTGAAGCTTTAAATTGGTTCTAGGTTTTTTGAAGTTTGCTAAAACATTTCGGAGTTTGTTGAACCCCTCTGAAGCTTTCGGAACATCTCCAAAGTTTACTGAATCTTTCTAATTTGTTTTTCTAATATCTAGATAGAGCTGGAATTAAGGCGTAACAACTTTTGTAAACAATGACTTCTCTCGATGATTTATCGAAAGACATGACTCTACCTGGCAAATCAACATTACCATCGAATAGGGGAAGACTTCCTCTACCCGATGGATATGTTGGTTTGTGTAGGCGTGCTTTGAGTTGCTAGAAATCAACGAGAGAAGTCATTGTTTACAAAAGCTGTTACGCCCTAATTCCAGCTCTATCTAGATATACGTTCCGAACTTCTCTGAAGCTTTCTATTCATCTTTAAAGTCCGCTGATTCTCTCTGATAATCGCTTTAGCTCTCAGAAGCTCTAAAGTTTGATAAGGATTTGAGTTAGCTATAAAGCTTTTTAATCATCTCCAAACTCTCAAAACCTCTCTAATGTTTTCTGCATCGTTGCGGAGTTAAATAAATCTTCTCTGTAGATTTCATCTTTAAAGTCTGTTGAACCTCTCTGAAGACCATCTTCTCAGAACCTCTCTGAAGTTTTATGAAACGTTCCGAAGTTCCTTGAACTTCTCTGAAACTTCATGAGCATCCCTAAAGGTCGTTTAAACTTTAAGTTTTTTAAGTTTGCAGAATCGTTTCAAAGTACGCTGAAGACTTCCGAAGTTTCCTTAGTATTGCTAAAGTCCGCCGATCCGTTATGAAGATCACCGGAGCTCTCTGACGATTGTTGAAACGTTCCGAAGTTCGCTGAATTCCTCTGAAGTTTCCCGAACATCTCCTAAGTTCGTCGAAGCTCTCTGAACTCAAGACTCATATCAAATGGAAAAAAATTAAAGGAGTACAATGGAACTTCAGAGAAGCCTTGCAGTATTTTGAGAAGCTTAAGAAAACCCAAATAGTCATTCTGCGAACATCTTGCAAAATTCACAGAATAAAACACAGGAAACTTCAGAGTAGTCTTATGAATTTCGAATAGACTCAGGGAAACTCATAGAAGTTCTGGAGATCTGCAGAAAAGCTTACGAGATCTTTGAAGCAGGCCAGAAAATGTTAAGGGTACTTCACCTTAAAGAAGTCAGTAAACTTAAAAATTCAACACCCTTCAGTTCAGGGATCTTTAGAGTAGAGGATTGTATTGTATTTATTTATTTGGTTGAGGCTGTTTCATCTACGGAACCTTCAGAGTAGTCTCGGAAAAGACGAAAAGATTGTTCTGGGAGAGCTACGGCAAACTTAAGAGAGGTTGAGCAGACGAGTGTCGGTGATCTTCAGAGAGATTTGACAGTTGTTGGAGATGATCACAAAGCTTCTGCGGGGTTCAGCGAACTTCGGAACATATCGTCAAACTTCAGAGCGTTTCTGAAAGCTTCAGTGAATATGAGGAATATGAGAGATTACCAGAAAGCTGCAGAGTGGTTTAGTGAACTTTCAATCGGTTCAGCAAACTTGACTTAGGTTCGTCAATTTTTAGACTGGTTCGACAGACTGTCGAGATTATCAAAACTTCAGAGGGGTTCAGTGAACTTCGGAACGTTTCCACAAACCTTAGAGTGGTTCTGAGAGCCTTGATGAGTTTTAGAAAGGTTCAGCGGACTTTGAAGATAGTCAGAACGGTTTAGAGAAGCTCACCGAAGTTAAGATCTTTTCAACAAACTTTGGAAAGATTCTGAGATAACAAGAAAGCTACGGAGTGGTTCAGCAAACTACGAAACATTTCTGCAACCTTCAGAGAGTTTCGGTGATGTGCAGATAGGTTAAGTGGGCTTGAAGATAATCAGAAAGTTTCATATGGTTTCAGCGAACATTGCAAAGATTCACCGAGCTTCCGAGAGGCTCGAATAGCCTTGTCGATCTTCAGAGATTACCAGAAAGTTTCAAAAAGGTTCATGAAACTTTGGAAAGGTTCTGAGAGCGTCAGCGATGTTCTGAGATGACAAGAAAGCTACAGAAGAGCTCAGCGAGCTCCGAAACACTTCTACATGCTGCACAGAGTTCTGGCGATGTGCAGACAGGTTAAGTGGGCTTTGAAGATGATCACAAGGCTTCAGAGGTTTTCAGCAAATATTGTAACGATTCATCAAACTTCAGAGAGATTCTGATAGCTTCGGCGATCTTCAGAGATGACCAAAAAGCTTCAAAAGGATTTAGCGAGCTTTGCATCCCGGAAGCTTGAAAGAGATGACCAAAAAGCATCAGAGCAGTTCAGTAAATTTCAGAACGTTTCATTAAACTTCGGTTCTGTGAGCTTCGATGAATTGAAGAGTGGTTCAGGAAACTTTGGATCGAGATAATCAGAAAGCTTCAGAGAGCTCACTGAACTACAGATCGAATAGTCGAACTTCAGAAAGGTTCACAGAGCATTGGTGAATTTGAGCTTCGGCGGTGTTCAGAACTTCGAACCGTTTCATGAAATTTTAGAGCATTTCGGCGTCCAGCGACGTTTGAAGATGATAAGAAAACGGCAGAGGGGTTCAGCCAACTTAGTAAAGATTCATCAACCTTCTGAGCGGTTCTGAGAGCTTTGGTGATTTTGAGAGGTGAGCAGAGAACTTCAAAGGGGTTTAGCGAACTATGGATCGATTCAGCCACCTTTAGAGAAGTTCAGCGAGCTTCTGAACGCTTCTTAAAACTTCAGAGCGGTTTTGTGAGGTTCGATTAATGTTAGACTGCTTTAGCAGACTTCGAAGATTATCAGAAAGCTTCAGCGACGCTCAGGGAACTTCAGATCAATTTATCAAACTTCAAAAAGGTTCTATTCAGGCGGTATTCAGTGATGACCAGGAACCTTCAGAGGGGTTCAGCGAATTTTTAAACGTCTTTGAAAACTTCAGAAGGTCTCGGCGATCTGCAAAAAAAGTCCAGCAAAGTTTGCAGATGATAAGAAAGCTTCAGAGGGGTTCTGCGAAATTTGTAACGATTCATCATACATACATCATCGCTTCTGAGATTGAGAGGATAGTAGAAAGCTTCACAGGGGTTTAGCGAAATTTGGATCGATTCAACCATTTTTAGAGGTGGTTCGACAGACTGTAGATATGATCAACAAACTTCAGAGTAGTTCAGCGAGCTTCGGAACGCTTCATCAAACAGAGCGGTTCTGGGAGGTTCTGAGCGGTTCTGTGAGGTTCTGAGCGGTTCCGTGACGTTCGATTAATGTTAGAGTGCTTCAGCAGACATTGAAGGTTATCAGAATGCTTCAGCGAAGCTTACCAAACTTCAGATCGATTAATCAAACTTCATAAAGGTTCGGGAAGCTTCGGAGGTGTTCAGAGAGGACCAGAAAGCTTCAGAGGGGTTCAGCGAATTTTTAGACGTCTTTGAAAACTTCAGAGAGTTTCAGTAGACTTTGGAGATGATAAATAAGGTTCAGAGGGGTTCTGTGAACTTTGTAACGATTCATCAAACTTCAAAGCGGTTCTGAGATCTTTGGTGAATTTGCGAGGATAGTAGAAAGCTTCACAGGGGTTTAGCGAAATTTGGATCGATTCAACCATTTTTAGAGGTGGTTCGGCAGACTGTAGAGATGACCAAAAAGCTTCAGAGTAGTTCAGCGAGCTTCAGAACGCATCATCAAACTTCTGAGCGGTTCTGTGAGATTCGATTAATGTTAGAGTGCTTCAGCAGGCATTGAAGATTATCAGAATGCTTCAGCGAAGCTCACCGAACTTCAGATCGATTAATCAAGCTTCATAAAGGTTCGGAAAGCTTCGGAGGTGTTCAGAGACGACCAGAAAGCTTCAGAGGGGTTCTGCTAACTTCAGAACGATTCATAAAATTTCAGAAAGGTTCTGAGGGCTTCGACGATCTTCAGTAATGACCAAAAAGCTTCAGAGGGGTTCAGCAAATTTTTTAACGTCTTTGGAAACTTCAGAGAATTTCAGTAGACTTTGGAGATCATCAGAAAGCTTCAGAGGAGTTCTGCTAACTTAGGAACGATTCATAAAATTTCAGAGAGGTTATGAGGGCTTCAGCGATCTTCAGTGATGACCAGAAAGCTTCAAAAGGATTCTGCGAAAGTCGGAACTATTTTTTCCACTTCCCAGCCATTTTTGGCTACCCGGGAATCGGGAAATATGCTTATCCGGCGACAGGATATAATTTTTGACGTATACACCCGTTTGATAGTTACTCATAAGAATTGGAACTTCGTCCGACTACGCACGAAAGTTTCCTCCAACATCTCCTGGAAATTTAAAACAACTTGTCGTGGAAGATTCTTTCATCTATTCCTGGGGAAGTATCTTCAAACTTCCCCTTGAAGTCCTACTAGCATTATCTGGAAGTGGCAATGTATTCTATTCCCCCCGGAAGACTCTTCTGACCTCTCCTGAAACATACTTCCGACTTACAGAAGTCAGAGTGACATTCTTTGGAAGTGTCTTCCGGTTTCCACAGGATGTTTTTTTCAGAGTCCCCCCGGATATTCCTTCCGTCTTCCACTGGAAATCTCTTCCTAGTTTCTTGGAAGTCACTTCCAACTTCTCCTGGAAATTTATGTTGCCTTGCCCCGGAAGTTTCTACTGGCTTACCCTGGAAATTTCTTCCTACTTCTCTGCAGAGGTTTGCCTAATTTCCCCGGAAGTTTCTCCCGAGTTCACCCGGAAGCTTCTACAGACTTCTCACGGCAGTCTCGGCCAACTTTCCCCGGAAGTTTTCTCTAATTTTCTTCCGACGATCCTATAAGAAACTTCCGTCCTCTGGGAGTGTCGTCTGACTTCCCCGGATTTTGTTGATCTATTTTCCTCATCAGTTTCATCTGACTTCCACCGGAAAAATCATCCGACTTCCTCGAAAATTCCTCTGGATTCTCCTGGATTTCTCTAAGTAATTCAAGTAGGTTAATTTCACGGGTACTGTAGTCTATTTTTAGTGAAAATATATGCCTTCTGTATAAAAACATGTTTTTCCCGGGAAGTCCAACCAGTTTCCCGGGAAACGGGAAATGTTAATTTTGGCAAATTTCCCGGGATGTCCCGGGTAGGAAACACTATTCAGAACGTTTCAGCAAACTTCAATTTGCAAATATTTGACGATAACGCAAACAGCATAGATCCACTATCAAAGGGCCCTCATTCGGGTGAATGATTTCGATCTGCTTCGTCAATTGACGAAAGCATGGATCATTTTCAATTGAGAAGCACTTGAAGTCAAAACGAAAACCTGAGGCAATTCGAAACCAACTGGATCTCTTCCAGGCATTAACTCCCAACATTAAGCTACAATTGATCCGAAATCGGATTGACATGTCTATCCGGACCCTTATTCTGGTTCTACGAGAAACCAGTTTTGTGTATCAATAGAAAGTGAATGTGACTCAATTGAGTTGGAACGCACTCATTTGATACTCGTGATACTCGTGAAGCTGCAGAGAGGTTCATCGTGCTTCGACTAGATTCAGCGGAATTTTGAGAAGATCCAAATCTTCAGAGAGGTTCAGTGAACTTCCGACTCTGTCGGAAAACTTCCGAGAGGGAGAACCGAGAAGAGCTCAAGGAATTTAAAAGGTTTTGAGGTAGCTCCGGACGAGTTCGTCGTGTTCAGCAAACTTCAGAGAGTTTCGGAGCACTGAACCTACATATCTACATTGCTGATCGATGCGGGATTGCCTCATCCGTCCGATGGTGTTATTTTTCTTGATTGAATAGTCGTTTTCGAGAAATCCTAGGATTTCAGTGAGGTTCAACGAATTTCAGAGCATTGCCGGAATCTGGCCAACTTCAGAGAGCCTCTACGATATTTAGAGCTGTTCTGGAGACATCAGGAGGGGTTCAATGTACTTCAGAGGTTTTCAGGTAGCTCCGGACAATTTCGAGCTTCAACGATAAGGGATCCGCTTACATCTTCGCCAATTCCTATTTATCGGAATAAATTAAGTTCTTACGCGCTCAATTCTGACTGAACGACACCTTAGAGTATAATAAGTGATCACTACACACCTCGACGAAGTTGATCGTAATGACCCACAATAATATGACTGACGTTGTAGTTACGGTATGCACACTGGGATGAAAGTGCCTGGGGATGTAGTTGCGATATTCCAGCTAAGATCGCCCTTCAACTTACCGTTCGATGACATTATGCAGGGCCTTGAATAGAAGCGACCGACATTCGTACGACAGGCCACCCTCCCAGGAGCCTTTTTCACCTTCTGTAAATAGAGAGAGAGAGAGAGAAAAATCGAAATGTTACAAAGTTGAAGTCACACACCATGTAATTATTCAGTCGCAGACCATCCCAACGCGCATTCAACGTTCGGTAATAACAACAGGTTAATTTAATTACAAACGCAAACGTACATATCAATTTGAATCTGTTGAAGGTAAACGGAATATCGGGGGCCAGCACGTGTCCACAAATAGGGACGGGAAGAGGAGCCGCAGAAACTGGGACGGTTGAATTTTTCGATTGTGGTTCACTCACAATCAAATAATTGGGAGTTGATCAATTTGTAGTGGCAAAATACTCAGGCACGTGTTGCTCCGTTGGTCGATGATGATTTACGGATGTGTAAGATACAGAGTGGGGGAGCAGTAGCAGCAAACGGAGCGATGTCTATTTTGCGGCTAATTATTCGATAATTAGTGGAAAATGAGGGCGGTAATTGCATGGTTGACATTCAGCGGAATATGAATTCCAAATTGCGGCATTCGCTTACAGGGCTGTTATTTCTGCTTTTCTATTCTTGTTCATACTTCCTTTATACTATTCTCGTGTTGTTCCAAGTTTTAGTTCTTTTCTATTCTTCTGCACCTTTATATTTTAATTCATGTTGTATGCCTATTTTACCATTCTTATGTGCTTCATTATTGTTTACAGTAAATTAAAGCGTTTACACAAAACCTGACCTACATTACTTTCCTGTCCGACGACCACTTTATCTCTGAAGAAAAATAACGGTGAACCGCCGCCGCTGTCCACCGTCGCTCTTAATCTGTGTTAAATAAATCACTTGTTGAGCGGTTTCGTTTCGAATTCCCATCTGTCAGCGGAAAAGAAAAACAGCTGGCTGCTTCCGAATTATCACCCCCAAGAACATTGATGATGGGGATTATGCGATACATAACCTCAGCCGCTCTCTTGAACACAAGTGGCGACCGACCAACATCATCATCATCATCATCGGTCGGTCAATCACGTAAATTGATATGATTTAATTTGTATGCTCACCGACCCCTACCACGGTTTCGTGACACAGTTTTTTTTTTATTATTTCAGAATCGGCCATCAATCTCATCAAAGCAGTAGTCGCTCGTCTCGCCATAAATTAGCGCGCGAGCTCAACTTACAATGAATGTGAGTAAACAAAGCAAATTCCTGCTGCATGATGGCGCTTCGCGAGATCACTTTCCTTTTCCTCCTGAGAGCACCTGTCTGTCAAAGTGAGCTGATATTATAAGAAACTGCAAGGTAAGCAAACAGTAAACAAACAAAGCTAAAAACGCTGCTGGGTGACGGTGCAGGTTTTCGACGATGCACTTTTGGCACGCGTGCTTCTACCCTCTGTCGGTATACGAAAGTGCAAGTTGTAAATTGCAGGTGCAATGCTGTCTGCCGGGCGGGTGTTCGACGACGATGAAGTCATAATCGGTCTGATGGCAGATCGAATTGGCTTTTTACACTCTTGTTCAAACGCGCGGCAAGTTAATGCATAATTGTGTTATATGATAGCAGTCGGGCGGTTGGGAGCTGGTAATCGTTACGAATTACATGCTATTTAGAGTCTATTGTATGTATGATTACCAAATTAAGTAATAATTGAACACGTTATTGAGTTTGCCCCTAAAGATAACTCAGTCACAAATTTCTCGGTTTTGATGATACATTAGGGTGTGCTTCATTTTGAACAAAAGAAGTAGCAATCAGATTGCCCACTCTCTAGTTTGACTCATTACCGTTAAATATGAGTATGTACAAAAAATTGTTAATATTGATGAAGATTTAGAGGGGGCGCAAATGGTGTGAAGTTCGTATTCTGCTGATTAGTATTTTATAAAGTAATTAAATTTTGGTAGTAAAATATAAGTCCTCAGTCCGAAAATTCATAGAAAATCGTCATTAAAGATGATATAACCAAGGGGCAAAACAATTAAGATGTATTTGAAAATATCATCCATTAAAATTAATTATTTTCAAAAACTATAGTGCTGAACGATGTTTGTTCAATGAATACTTTCGTTATAAGTCCAAACATATTTTGATATATTCAGTCAAGGTGTCCCGCCCCTTGAGTGGAATTCGATCAAAACTGCAGCCTAAGATAAGTTATACTTAAGGTGAGAAAAGACTTTTCGCGATCTCGATTCAAAATCATGGTTGATATTTTCACCACGACCACAAGTCGTGTGTTACTCGATAGGGGCTCAGTGGCCTAGTTGGGACCGTTTTTGCTTACAGGCTACTTCACATTATAAAATCTTTCTTAACAAGAAAACATAACTTCAATTCATCGTATACCGTTTACCGAAACGAAGCGTGCTGCAAACCCAACCCTTTTGTCCCACATCCCAGTGATTTATCGTGGAAGTGTAGAGGATTTCTCCGCTTCGCAGGGCTGGTAGCGATCACTGCTGTCAAAAATAGTGATTTTAGTGACCATGTTGGAGAAATAAGTGACCAAATAGTGACTAATAGTTGTAAACATAGTAACTAAAAAGTGACCTAAGAGAAGAAAAGCAGTCGTTATGATGGCACGCCAAACAAATGTTTGATGTTTCGGACTTATTTAATTAGTATCTCGTAAACATTTATGTAAGATATGATGTTTTAAAGCGAAAGATTCAATAGAAAGTTTATGGCCAAACCCACGGTATTAGTCATGGTGTCTACTAACGGCAAAAACCTGGAAAACCGGGAATCTTCAAGAAATTTTATTTTTCCTTGAAATACCAGGAAGTCTCAGACAAACTAACAATTTTCTTACTAAAGATATTTTAAAGAAAAGAATGAATTTTGAAATACAAGCATTTAATTTGTCAGTTTATTTTCATTCACACTTTGAACTTTATAGATTCACAGTGGAATCTTCAGTAACAAATAAATTTAAAAAAAATCAGAGCCTTACAATGTTTTCTCTTTTTTTTTGGTTTTGGAACATACATATTTCCTAGAGTTCTGGACTTAAAAGCTATAATCAATAAATTATTAAGAATCTGGAGTAAAATTCCATAGACAGTTCTAAGAGCTCGTGAAATTTTATTATTATTTATAAGGGCCTCATTTCAGGGGAATTTTTGTTTTTTTTTTCAGAAAAACTTCAAAGGCAATCTGCTTTCAAGGAATATTAGATTTCATGGGAAGCCTGATAGTTTTGAGTAGAATTTTAAGAAACCCTGCATTGAATTAAAGTGAATAAAAATTAATACTTGTAGGAATTTAGAAGAGCACAACTCCTGTGAAGTTCAGAGGAAAATTCCAAGGGCAATCTGAGGATAATTTCATAAAGTTTGTGGGAGAAAACTAATGCTAAGTCTTAATAATAAGTCCTTATATTTTTTTAGAATACTAAAAGGAGTATTACAATTAATTCTGAGAATAACTCCAGGACATCTTCAAAGGAATTCGGAAAATAAATTCAGGAGAATTTTCCAAACAAATTATGAGAAGGAATATAAGGAATTTGTGAGGAGAAATGCCAATGAATTATTAGGAGGCTTTCAATGTGACTAGAATTCCAAAGGAAGGAGTAATATTCAAAAGGAAATATGAAATGCATTCAATTGATCATTCGGAGAATCTTTCCAAAGGATTTGTTATTGTGTAAAATTTCAAGGTAATTCCGAGGAAAACTAAAAACAAATAAATAATTCAAAGGATAGTTTCATCGGAAAGAAAGGTTTCAATGGAAATCTTCGTTGAATATGGAGTGGACTATTCTGAGGTCTTTAGAACTACTTGAAAGTTCCCATTTTCTCTGAGGTTAATGTAACTGCTTTGAAGTTCTTTTGTAGTTTGAGAAACTAGCATGATGCTCGTAACACTTCTCATACAATTCTTAAAGTTGCCTGAATTTTATAGTACTTTTACTTTAGGAAACTTTAGGAAGAGTTTCCTCAATTTTTCTAACGATCATCGATCTTCTCTAAAGATTTAACGATTCGTTGAAGTTCTCCAAGTTTCTTTAAAAATTATGTGACTTCTCTAATGTTAACGGAACTGCTCTGAGGTTCTCTGTTCTTTTCTGAAATTCTCAAAACATCTCTAACGTTTTTGCAGTTCTCGTGAATCTTGTTGTACTGCGCTGAATCTAAATGAACTGTCCTAGGAACTGCTTTAAATTTCCCACTAATTTTCTGAAACTAATGGAATTAAACTTTCTTTTAAATTCCTCCAATTTTCGGAGCTTACTAAACTTCTTTCAAATACTTCCGCGTTTTACTAATGTTCATAAAAATTCCTGAAGTTCGCGAATTACCAATTAAAATCCATAGATTTATATGAAGTTCTCCGAATGTTTCTGAAGATCACTGTCCTTCTGTGAAGTTTTCTAAGTTTTTCTAAATGTCTGGACGGAATTAGAAAGAAAGAATTAATATACGTCTATGATTTTCACTGAAGTTCTCAAGATTTTTCTGAAGGTCATGAAACTTCCCTTAAATTATCGACACTAATTTAAAACTTCTTCAATAGTCTAGATTTTTCTGGTTAAAACTGGCAAAACGATTACTGAATTTCTTTAGAGTTCTCTAGACTGCCCTGAATTTATCAGTATTTTTAAGAACCCACAACTATACTGAAATTAATTGATTTGCCTTGAAGTTTCGACAATTTTTCTGAAGTATTATAACCATTGTAAACGCTTGCTTACATGAAGTTCTCTAAATTTGTTTAATAATCTGGAAAATTTTCTGACATATATATATATATTCATAATTCGATGACGCTCCCGACGTTCATAGAATTCTCGGAATACCCCATAATTCCACGGAACTCCTTTTAAGTCGCTTAAAATTTGCTTAAGTTAATGGGAATATTCTGAAGTTATCTGATCGTCCTGGAAGTACTCGGAACTTCGCTGAATATATAATGAAACTATCGAAAAATATCTAAACTTATTAGAAGGTTTCTGGAATTTCTTGAAGATGTCACTGCTTGCTAAAAGTTCTAGCATTTTTTTTCAAATAATGGAACTTCGTTGATGTTATCTAATCA